GTTTACATGGATGGAGCTGAAAGATATTCTTCTTAGCAAAGTATCTCAAGAATGGAAGAAAAAGTATCCAATGTACTCAACCCTATTATGAAACTAATTGTTAACTATCATAGGAAAGCTATAATCCAAATGGAGTCCAAGAATATCGGGAAAGGGGTGAAGGAGGGGAGGGGAGGGGAGAGGATTGGTGAAGGGAGGGTGATTGCAGGGATCACACCTATGATTTTTCCTATAAGAGTACATGTGAAGCTTTCTAAATGTCGAATATAAATGTCTTAACACAACAATTATGGGAATGACATGATGGCTATGTTGGCCAACTGGATGAAAGTATTTCAAATTGTATATGGAAACAACACACTGTATCCCATGATAGAATTAATGTGCACAAATATGATCTAATAATAAATAATAATTAAAAAAAGAAGACATACCAGATACCTATACCCCCAAACATTTACTTCTATTAGAGTAATTGTAAATACATACAAAAGTCTTCAACAATATACTAGCACACTGAATTCAGTAGCATACTAAAAGATTACCCACAATGACCAAGTGGGATATCTTCCTGGAATGAGAGCATCATTCAATACATAGAAATTGACCAATGTAATATGCTCCATTAATATAATGAAGAAAAAACCACACAATCATCTTAATTCATGCAGAAAAATTATTTAAAACACTCATACATGATAAAAAACACTCAGAAAGATAGATAAAACCTACTCTAGCATGATAAAATCTATATATGAAAAACTCAGAGCAAACATCCTACTCAATCGTGAAAGACTGAAAATGTTTTCTCTGGGATCAGGAAAAAGGTAAGGGTGCCCACTTTTGCCATTTCTATTCAAAACTTTACTAGAAGGCCTAACTAGAGCAATTAGGCTCAGAAGAGAATCTAAATAGAAGAATGTAGAAATCACTTAGTCTGACTTCTATACCAATGAAGGAATCTCTTCTAAAACATCCTGATGATACAATCTTTCTTAATACTTCAGTGGCAAGACAATTTGCACTACTCTGCTGCTCTTCAGGAAGGCCTTTTCTACTGTTAAAAGCATCATTTGTTGGAAGGCTTCTTTATGACAAAATAATCGTCACCTTGAAACTCTCACTGTAATTTGGTTCTCCAAAGTAGGAAGAGAGTCTTCTTTTTCCACATGACAACTGTTCTTTTCTCCAAATTATATAATTCCTTGATTCCAAAAGCATCTAGGATATGGTTTCTAGACTTATCAACATCATTACTCTCCTTCTTAAAACAGTAGTGCTGATGGAGCCAAAGCCTCTCCATTGGAATTTCACATTTTTTCAGCTCTTATTTTTTCACATTTCACATTTTCACAGCTCTTATTTTTTTTTCCTCTCTCATTAGGTGGTCATTTAACACAAGTAAACCTTACTTTAGGCTAAAAATGCTTTCTGAAGAAGGGGGGGGTAATTGTAAATAAAATAATCACTCTCTGTGCACTACGGAAACCTACTTAGATGGTATCTTTGTAAGATTTTTTATAATTTTTATCTGTCCCACAAAGATAAAAATGTTTTCTACTCTGTACTTCTTAAAAGTGAGATCTTCCAATACCTTATTTTCCTTACCTTTCAAATGAATTTTTGTACCTAATATGAAATCTTTCTGTTTCTCATAACTCTGATGGGAATACGTACAATAATGTGATCCATTTTGCTATTTTTAAGAGTCAAGATCTACTCAAACAGATAGTTTTAAAAGTTATTTGGGTTTTTGTCTTACTCTATTTTTAAAAATTAAAAGCATTCCATATTCCACCTCATATAACAGATGGCAACACACGATGTAGGTTTAATAATTATTTTAATTACAAATTTCTATCAACTTTTTCCAGTCATTTTTCTGGACATCACAAATGGATTATATAACAGTTTTATCTTATACTCATCTGCATGAAAATTAGAAGAGAAGAAATGAATAGGCTACATGAGAATAACTTAAGGTTCACATTTACATTAGGTACTCCACAAACATACAAGCCTGTGGGCTAAAGCCTACTTAGCTACCCTACTCTTCTATCACTATCCAGCTGCATGACTTTGGGCAGGTCACTTCTATTTTCTCATATTTTAATTATATATCACCTAAGAGTCAATTGGCTGCATGCAAAAATGCCTTGAAAAATACCATGCACTTGTATGTGTGAAATAGTACTATAAAGTGCTTTATTTATTACCAATCATCCTACTTTTAGAATACTATTCATATAATTCAAAGTGTTTGTTTGCAAAGTGATCCATTTAAAATCTCCCAGGCATTAGCCTACGAACAACCTGGTATGATTCTGAAGCTAGTGTCTCAATTTTGGGGAACAGGATATAATAAAGATAAATAACCGTCACAAGCATTAATCAATAAGTAAATAAAATGCCGTCTTATTCTCTAAAATGTTGACATTCAAAAGTAATGTCAAAATGTTGGGATAGACCAACTAAGTAGGAAATAAACCTTACCATGACTTCCTTAAATGATTTAAAATGTAAGTGGTGGCTCAGTGCCTGTAGCTCAGCAGATAAGAGCACCAGCCACATACACCAGAGCTGGCGGGTTCAAACCCAGCCTGGCCTGCCAAACAATGACAACTACAACCAAAAAATAGCTGGGTAGGTGTTGTGGTGGGCACCTGCAGTCCCAGCTACTTGGGAGGCTAAGGCAAGAGAATCACTTAAGCCCAAGAGTTTGAAGTTGCTGTGAGATATGACGCCACAGCACTTTACCAAGGGCAACATAGTGAGACTCTGTCTCAAAAATAAAAATAAAATAAAATATAAATGGTAAATGTGGTGAATGGTAACAAATTTTCACCTACACTGAAGCTTATTAGTCTAGAAAAATAATAAAATTACTAAAAATCAAATTTTCTATGGATTCCTAAAAATTAAAATTCTGAGATTTTGTTTTCTGAAAAAATTGCTTCTTTGGTAAAATATTTAGCACAGACTACATTCCCCCAAATCTATAGTACAACCAGATATTTAGGTCATTAAGCAAAAAAAATAAAATAAAATAAAAGGAAAGACTTTGGCATGCAGATACATAATTACAAATTACAAATATCTGATAACCTTACCTCTTTGTATATTTAGAGGGTATGGCTAAAGTTTTTTTGGAAATTTAGAGGGCAAGGAAAATAATCTGAATATGTGTCTTGTTGATTCAACAAGTACTGAGCCGTTAATGTAGTGTTTATAGTATTAATATTCCTGTATCAGTTCCTTAGAATTCTTTAACCTTTGGGTCCCCTAAGCTTTGGATGAAATTATCTAGGAAGTGATTAAATATATGCAGAATATTATGCTTTGAAAACATTCTTGGTTTATCAAAATGAAAAGAAAGATAAATATTCCAAATGCTGAAAATGTGAAATAAAAGTTTGTGAGAGTTGCCAACTATATGGGTACCAATTAGAAAGTATCTTCATCTGACTCATCACTCTTGGATTTGGTAAGTCTTTCCAGTTCTTCTCCATCCTAAAAGGAAACATATGAAATCAGTAATTAAAACAAAAACTAGAAATGTAGCCTTTTTAATGATTACTAAGGGGAAACCTTATTAAGAAATCATAGATCTTATTTCATTAAATTGTCAAAATAACAGTCAAATTAAATAAATACTTAAGTTCTTAAAAAGTTAATTTTAGAAGTACATTGAGATGAAAAAGTGAAATGCACTCAGTTCTTGAATTTTTTTTGCACTTGAATTTTAAAGTTAACAACATGAGCACCATCTGCTGGTCTGAAGGGGAAACAAAGGTGGAGAAATATTTATAATTTAGGCCTTGTCACAAAAATTGTTTTCTTTTACTTAAAAATTAGGACAAAGAGCATTATCAGCCTGTTGGAAAATAATACAGGATTTCTGAATGTATACTGCTGGCTAAAATCAGGGCATCTGGGACATAAGCTTCTAATTTTCTCATGTGAAGGACCCGTTGTATCACCCCTCCGGTGGCATTATACATAGGGAAGCTCTGCCATTAGCTCCAATAAGCAATGTATTGACTTTCCCAAAGAGTGAAATGTCCATTGTGTGAAATTTTTTTAATATATTCATGAAAATTGTAAATCTAAAGTTATATGCCTATTTCAGTTCTATAAATATACATTTAACTCCTTAATTGAGTCCCTTCAAAATTAACTAATTAGTTAATAAAATGATGATGAACTCTTCCAAAACAATTAAAAACAACTAGAAGATATTCAGGAAAAAACCGCTTAAGGGGTTTTCTAGAAAATATTTTACTCCTACTTGCAGATACCCTTCTGGAAGCTATCTTTTTAGTGAAAAAAAACCCTGCACTCCCGGCACACCAAGGTTTAAGAATAACTACAAGTAGGCTTTCTATTTAACAACACTTACTAATGTAAAAGATTATCTTCTTCCACAAATTAACTTATTTTCTCAATTATGACAAGGTGCTAGAAGTCAGATCATGGGTTTAATACCAGTTCTTTCACTTATTACCTATAAACCATTGAGTCTGTTTCTTCACTTGTAAAACCAGGGAGACTGGAAAAGATAATCTGTGAGACATCATTTAGGTCTGTAATTTGTAATAGTCAATGACACATAGGTCCTTGAGACTGTAATTTGTATTTTTTTCTATATCCCTCACTGCATTTACCAGGAGCCCTAGAAGTTCAATGAATGCTCGTTGACTGACTTTTAAAAGTCACTGAAATCCAATATATTATTTGATACACCAGTACTGATCTTTCTTTTCCTTTAATAACCACGCTTTGAATTTGGGAGGAACAAGCAAAAAGCAGTATCCTTATAAACTTACCCCACTGGAACGTTCCCAAAGGCTGCCGCTTAGATCTCGGATCCTTTCTTGCCTAGGCGCATAATCCAGACCTTGAGGGTTGCTGGCATTATAAATAAATATAGAGAGAAGGACTGATGGAGATTCCAAGAAAAATTCTAGGGAGGGCCTGAAGTCAAAGACCAGGACTGACACTGCTGTGATGATGACAGTGGTGATCTGGGCCATCAAGACATGGAACATGTTATCCAGGAACTTCAGAATGAAAGCCACTGAAAGGCCCTGGAATGCCATTACAAAAATAAGGGCTACTGAAAATACATTATGGCCATAAAAAAATCCACAATCCTTAATCTGATCACGGTTACTCTTTTGAAGGCCCAGGGTCAGCCCATTAAAAAGAACACCAAAGAAATAGAGTTTGCTGTTCTGTATGAAGATGCTTTCAGTGAGCTGGTTCCCTTCCTTCAATATCTTTTCATTATAGATATTGGCCATTGAAGAAATAAAACATTGGACTATAATAAGAACATGGCCCACGCCAAGACGGATGTGACTGAAAACCTCGGCTGTGGCGTTCCACTTAGCTTCAGGAAAAGTCCACTCCTTTGCTGTGCAATTGTCTTTTATGGAACAGTCATTTCTAAACAGAAGGCAGGAATTGGAAGGGCTGAAGAAGGCATCATGATGAAATCCATGTCCTGCCAAGTTATGGTGTGAACTTTTAGTCCCAGCAGTCAAAGCCACAATAGACAAAAACAGAATCAGGAGGCTAGCCCATTGAATCCAGTTTAGGTGCCGCCTGTTCAAAGATGAAAAACAAAATTTTACTACTGTCTCTCCCCCGATATCAAGTGTTTCTGTAGAAAACTCTACTTGAGTAGTTGGTTGAATAAACATACCTAGCTTTTGCTAACACTTCCTACAATTCAACTTTAAAGAAAACCTGTTGTCTCTGCTTCTCAAACATGTTTTTATTTACTTTTATTATACCCAACCCTTACAGCAGTGGTTCTCAACCTTCCTAATGCTGCAACCCCTTAATACAGTTCCTATGGGTCGTGACCCACAGGTTGAGAACTGCTGCCTTAAGGCCATTCAGTCATTTCTCCTGTTTGATGTCTCCTTTTAACTACAGATTTAACTAAGATTCCTTTCTACCTCTAGAGCTGATCTTGGACCTTTGGCACAACTTTTCTCTTACTATAAAGTAAATCAGTTACTCTCAACCTAGTTTCTTGGAATCAGAAAATATGTAGATGAGCTTCAGAAATCATCCATATAGATGCATCTCCCCCGATGCAAGAGATTTGTTAAATTGGCAAAGGTGTTCATAATCCAAGAGATTTAAGGAGGAAGCTAGTTCCTCAATCCATGGACTAATCATTAAGCATTTTAAAGCAAACTACTGGCTGACATAAGACAAACAAAAAATGAAAGTTTTATTTATTTATTTTTTTGAACAGCAAACTTGTGAAATATAGAAAATATGTATTATGATTATTCCATTTTATGGATTCATTCAGTTCGACAGACATTTACAAAGCAGCTACTATGCACCAGGCAACCTGGAGAAAAGTAAAAAAACTTGGTCTCCATATTCAAGGAGTTTACACTTGAATAGTGAGAGACCCATGAAACTGATTTGACTATGTTGTGTGACAAGTGATTCATGCAACAACTGGCGTATTCTGAGAAAGAAACATTTGTAAGAAGTATTGTTTCAAAGAGAAAGTAACATCTGAGCTAAAAGATAAAAAATAAATTGTAGTTTACCACGTGCAAAGGGAATTAGTGATATAGCTAGGGAAAGTCTATCCAAAGGCAATAGGAAAACACAGTGCTGACAGAGGAATACCATAACTCCCTGTATCTGGAACTCAAGCAACCAGCACTCTCAAGCACCCAGCAGGTGACCCAGCCAAAAAAATCAGAGTTTAAACCTAGCAGCATGGAGCTGGGTTTCAGCAAGCCAAGGTTTTGTGTATCATTGCTGCAGGTAGCAGGTGGTCTTTATAACAGTTTTAAGTGTTAAAAAGTTAAAAAAAGTACTGGTAGTGAAGCTGAAAAGTGTATTGACTGCCATTTACCTAAAATTTTACACCACATTTATAAAACTGTTTTATGATATACTAAAACTGCTTTATAGTAAGTATAGGTTGCCTTTGTCTTAATTTGATTCTTTAATGTATGTCCATATTTAATATCAAGTCAATACAGACTTTATGGTATAGTACAGCATAGTATGGGGTACAGAATTAGTGAAGCTATTTTTTTTTTTTTTTGCAAATTAATTCTATTCATATTGTTACTTTTGCCAAATCCAGAAACTGGGACTATCAGCCCCAACAGCCCACCAAAATAACTATCTGAGCAGTTAGGCCTATTTTTAATAGTCACCCTAGATAGAGTGTCATGGTGACATCATAGCCCACAGCAACCTCCAATTCTTGGGCTCAAGAGGTCCTCTTGCCTCAGTTTTTTGTATTTTTAGTAGAGACAGGGTCTCACTCTGGCTCAGGCTGGTCTTGAACTTCTGAGATCAAGCATTCCACCCATCTTGGTCTCCTAGAGATCTGTGCTCTTATAAATGAAGACTGATTCTGTATGACAGAGTCTGTCCTTCAGTTTAATTGATGCAACACACTAGAAGCACACTTCACTGATACTTCCCACTAATCCCGTGCAGCGGCGATGGATGCTCAGAGCTGAAGGCATGTTGCTAGGTTACTCTTTTTCCTGAAGGTTGCTGCTCCCAACTGAATTGTTTACTCATAGAGTCTCTGTTACTAAACCTGTGTTTGCCAGGTGATTTCAGTGTTGTCATTATATATATTCAATAATTACATAAATGATAAACTATGAGTATGGCGGGTGCCTGTAGTCCCAGCTACTCGGGAGGCTGAGGCAAGAGAATTGCCTAAGCCCAGGAGTTGGAGGTTGCTTTGAGCTGTGTGACTCCACAGCACTCTACCAAGGACAATAAAGTGAGACTCTGTCTCTACAAAAAAAAAAA